CTTAAATATCACTGTGTTTGTTTGCTATATGATATATTTAATTGAAATTGATGTTCCGAACAACCAATGATCCATAAAGGAAAATCTTGAAAATGATCAGGGATGCCCAAACTTTTTCATACCACTGTATACCTGTGTCTTAGCAGCTTCCTTCTTTCAGACTCAAACCAATGTGAAAAAATGTGAAATCTAACAAAAGCATCCTCTGAAAATGGATTCCTCAGCAGGCATCTGCTGAAAAAAAAGTTCCTATCTGACCCTGGAAAATGGTAACAAGCTCCCAAGGGTGCTCTTCATTACTTCATTACACCTGCCTCAGTTTCACTTGGAGATCTGACATGGACTTTACGTTGAGAGACACCAAACCCTGTTACAGCTAACAGAAGCACGGTGTTTCAGGAGGGCGACTGTTGAAAACATGACTTAGGACTTACAATCTAAGGTCAAAAATCTGAAAAATTAGAAAAGGTGATGAACGAATATATACGTGAGAAATATTGAGTCACGTTATTCTACTTTATTTTTTCTTCATAATTTTTATTTACAACTTACTGTACTATACTCGACAAGATTATTAAATTTATCAGAATGTAGCATAATTGACACAGGATAAATAGTTCGTTTATTCAGTGTATGTTTTTGCATTTAACAATTTTTTAAAAAGGTTTTGATTTTGTATGTAATGGTAAGCAATAATCTTAACGACGTCAAAAATACAGGCTATCGCTGTCTCGGACTCAGAGCTGAATCGAAATGCGTGTCTTTAATCTGCAGTACTAGTGACTTGCCGTTCGCGAGTGATTCGTTCAATATGAACAAATCTTTCATGACTCGTGACTCCCGAGTCATATGAAAGATTTGTTCATATTGAACTCACGAATCACTCACAAATAAACTGCGAACTAATCTTTCACTGCGAACGAATCACTCATTGCAAACGAATCACTCACTGTGTACTAATCACTCTCTGCGAACTAATCTTCACTGCGAACTAATCACTCATTGCAAACGAATTACTCTCTGCGAACTAATCTTTCGCTGCGAACTAATCTTTCGCTGTGAACGAATCACTCTCTGTGACCTAATCTTTTGCTGTGAACTAATCTTTCGCCGTGAACTAATCTTTCACTATGAACGAATCACTCTCTGTGAACTAATCTTTCGCTTCGTTCTCGCAGATTCGTTTGATTTGTCACGTGACAGAGAGCTCGGGTCTCTTTTGCTTTCATTCATCTTCACATTGTGGTGTGTTTTTATTTCTTAGCTTTTCGCATGGTTTTAATTGCTTATGGCATTTTGTGTACTTTGTAGACTTTGTCAGCGGAAGCAAACCATGTTGCCTTCAGTATTTAGTGTCGGAAAACTGCAGCCTTCTTTACAACGTCTACAATAGGGCTAAAGCGCCACCTGCTGTAAAACGAATGAAATTCGTTCAAGATTCGTTCACTTTACTGTTTGAGAATCAAAGATCCGAATCAGTAAAAAGAGTCGGTCTTCCCATCACTATTATGTTTCTTTTTTGCGGACATTTACCAAATAATGGCCGATATTTCTTTTAAATAATACCGTAATATTTACATTCTGTTCTGCAAGCAGTATTTGTTACAAAGCCTCAAATTCAACTTCTTAACCCTAACGCCAAACGTATCATATTTGATACATGAGTTTTACAGCCCTCCACATGAGCAGTGTGATTTTTTTTTGAAAAACCAGATGTATACAATCACATACATGTAGTGCACAGATAATTCAACAGGGGATAGTTATTCACTCATTAGCGGGCCTTCCAGTGACACAAGATTGCCATGACTTAGGATTTGGATACAGGTGGACACAAGTTTGAAAAGGTTAAGATGAGAAAAACATTAAATATAGAAAACAATCGTTCGCTGTGGCAACCCCTGAAAAAAGGGACAAACCGAAAGGAAAATAAGATATAATAAATATAAGTTATATATCTATATAAATATAATATATATATATATATAATATATACATGTAACTCCTAATCAGTCAATTGTCATTTTATTGTATTTGATGCATTATATAGCAACAGTCTTTTTATTTTTAAATTACATAATTTAGTACATTTAGAGTAAAAAACTAGATATGTAACTTGCTGTACCATATTATATTAATACATTATTAGATATAAATATATATTTTATAGGGGAGACCGGGTATGGTTGTAACACTTTTTGCTTCAGCACCTGTAACTCACTGAATTTTTGAGCTAGAGTTCTCAAACTTTTATACAAAGTACCCTCATTTGTTTACAAATTGCACCAATTCAAACCTCTGCAAGAATATCACAGGCCTCGTGAGTTGATGTCAAATACATGGAGTTCCTTTGTTACAACCTACCCCACTAACGGGGTAGGTTGTAACACATGCTGGAGTAAGTTGTAACAATTAAAGCTTGTGGCCTGTGTAAGGCTGAATGCCTCTGGACTCCTCATTGCCAGGCTGGGGGTCCGCTTCATAATGAATGTGAACCAGTCAGGCCCTGCCATCTGCTTCTCATCCAATGTTTGTGGGTGTTTGATGTTATATATTACTGCCAGTTGATATGAAAAATGTCTAACCTAAAAGAAAGTGGAATAGAAAACCTGAATACATAGATACAAAAAGTTTTTCAATTTGTCTGGCATTTACGCTAGTATTCAATTCTTCTCTGGTCTCCAGTGACTAACCTGTCATATGTTTACCTCACGTGGAGTCAGCCCATAATACAGGTCTGCTGCCTGAGTCAAATAGTCAGCCAACACTTCTTCTGCACCTCAGAGAAAACTTTGTTGCTGCTTCAGTAACCTATACTGGGAAGATCACTGGACCCCAGGTCTCTCAGTTTCTGCAATGATTTACAGTATCTGCTCAGTGTTACATGGCAGATCCCATGTGCCTTTGCAAATGACCTGACTGACTTACCCTTCTTTGTGACCTCATCGGAATCTTTTTTTTTAAACATTTGCAGGCACACCTCTGTCAGTATTTCTTGTCCACTGCCTAGGAATTTTGTAAAATGTATTAAAATCAAGAAAGTGTTCTTAGTTGTATGTAAGGGGATGGTTGTAACACTTTTTAAAGATGTGTTACAACCCACCCCACCCCTGTCACCCATTGTTTAGCTAGCTATATTAGAATAGTGGTTTGAAATTAGCAGGGGAAAAATGCATCACATTTTGCCTGAGAAACTACAATTTAATCTAATGTAAGTCATATGGTTTTATGTACAATAGTATAAGTACTAAACAAAATATAGTCTTGGTAAAAAAATTTACTTTCTTACCTCAAAATCCATTTTTCTCTATAGAATCTGCATGCGCCTGTCTACAAATTTGACAACCACCATGTGGAATCGGGGAGGAAGTGGGTAAACACTGAAATGATCATATAACTCCTATCTTATCACTGATTGGTGGAATTAGTGGTGTTTCAACTCTCCCCATGTTACACCCACACCCGGTCTCCCCTATATGTAAATATAATATATATAATATAAATACATATATGTTTTCCAGACTTCCACCCAGCCAGTTCCATTAGTGGATTTCTCATTACTGCATTATGGTAGCACTTTCTATATATGTATTTACAAATTTGTTAGATTTGTTTGTGTTTTATTATGTTTTTGTTTGTTCAGGAAAAAATAATCTTTGAGCATTGTGACCCAATGTATCAAATATGATACAAATTGCTTAACAGCATGCCATAGTAGAGGAGTGTTTTGGGCAACACTTAATAAAATAAAAATAAATGTTTAGGCAAATGTAGCAGCTTGTTGCTCAGCCCACATAAACTTAATGTTTAAGTAAATCGTCCAATTCTCACACATGAGACAATAAACATATGACAAATAAGTGTAGTGTGCTGTTAATAAGACAAACAGTTGGCTATAAATTAAGATGAAATTCTAATGAACCTAGAAAACAGTTTCAAGGCTCATCAGGACAGCAAGGCCTGAATACACAATGACATAGGGTTTTGTAGCATGTATGTATATAAAAATCTAAAATAAAAACCTCAGGCCCGTAGGAGTTACTAGTCAAGACCATAGATCCATTAGAGAACATCAACTCAAGAGTATAGTGTTGCTGTCAAAACACTGAGATCAAATGTATGATTTATCATCTAACATTTAAAAGGATCAATGTTAAAAATACACACAAATACTCCTGGTGAACTCTTCTTGTTAGCATAGGTCAACTCAAGTCAGTTTGTAATAGTCATGATGGAACTTGAAATCTGTTAATGTGCATGTTCTCTTGTTTTCATTGTTTCTCTTCTGTCTTTTTAATCACCCTTGGTCAGAAGATCCTCTATGTAGGCATCAAGCTCATCATCTGTGTTTATGTCAATGTCCTAAAACACACACAAAAAATGTTTTTTTTTCTTCACCACTCTAACCAAACATAATAATGACCAGTCCCTTGGTTTAACTTTAAGATACAATAAGTAGAATATTGTTACCTCTTGTACTTTCTGTAGAAGTGCTACAATGTTGGTTCGCAGTTTCTGTAGTTTCTCATCTGCCTCCTTCAGTTTGACCTCTGTGCTGTGGTTCTTCTCCTCCACAGCCTTGGCCCTGGCATCAGCTCTGCTCTGGTAGGAGTTACACAAAGACTGCAGGCCAGATTCATATTGTTGGAAATATTCTTTCTACATGGAGGGAGAAGATATCATTAACATTAATAGGAAAACAGGAGTAGTGTTTTCCTAAAGGACCACATTTATACTTGGGCTATGGCAGTTCTCCTTTTCCAAGATAATACATTATCATCACAAATATTTTTTCAAATTTCACCCAGAAGACATGGGAATATGCTGGTCATATGGATCTGTTTATTCTTCTTTTTATTTGTTTTTCAGTTTTATGACAACAACTGCAATATAGAAAGATGTAGCCACATGATGTGTTGTCTCTCACCAAAGGAAAGGACACCAATTCCTCTGCTGTCATGCTGTTGACAACATCTTTGGGGATCCGGAAAGCAGGAGGAAAAAAGTAACGCAGCATTGTCCTGGGAACATGAACAGATCAATGAACACCCTTTGAAGACCTAAATGAAAAATAGTAAAACTTCATGACTATCACAAATGTAGCTGTACTTTCTTAGTACCTCACCTTAACATTGTGACCAGGCTGTCCGTCACTGCTCGACTGGTTCCTGGCTGAGTTGTGTCTGGTTCCATAGGTGCTGGACCTTTCTCAGTCTCCTGCTGTGTGTCTGGTGTCTGACAGATTGGAGATGGCGGTCGCATCAACCGAACCTCATCACTACCCTTAAACACCCTTTTTAAGGAAAAAAACAGATGTGAGGACAGGATAAAAATTATTCAATACAACTACAATGTGACTGTCACAAAAAAACAAACAAAAACAAAAAACACATTTTACCATCGGTCTTTGGCCATGTTCCGAGGCACATAATCAAACTTAACTTTCCAACGAATGCTTTGTTTATTGGTCTCCACAGCAATAACTTCGCCTGTGAACCACTCCTTATTGACACGTACTTCAACCAGAAGACCATTATCTGTCAAAAACAAGTACATATGTAAAAACTGCTTCTGCTGTAGCTTTCCTCCTCCACTTGAGTGACTTGATGCAGTTTATCATCTCACCTTTTTGAGCATTTTTACTGTCATTCTCTGGCTGTGGAGCCTTGTTGAGTGCCTGCAAACAAATCAAATTTTTACCATCAGGTGTGATCATAATTTTTATGAGACAGTGTGATGTTAAAAGATAAGCATATCTGTTAATGAATACAGTGTAAGCCTCAGAATGAGACCAGTCGTTAAGAGTGGCATGCTTGACTGCAGAGTGATTAAAAGAAAACTAAGAGAGAGACTGTTAGAAGAAATGCCAGACCAACACCTAAATTAGATATCGATACGGCTGTGTTATTAGTTGGATGGTGTGAGATTAAAGGCAGCCCAGCATTAGTGGGACATCATTTGTGTCTGAAGAAAGCTACCTTATCTTTAGCACCATGCTGTTCAATGGGAACAGATTTAGGAGCAGGGCTCGCTGTGTTTAGTGTTTGCCGTGTGGGAGTAGACACTCTATTTTTCGCAGCCTGGAATAATGTTTTAACCTGTAGGGTTAACAGCACATGGCTTAGGACTGGAGTGTTTAGAAACATGCAGTAATTTGATTATATTTCTAACATTCTTGTTCAATAACCTGAAATTAATTTTAGCAGCTCCTCTGCAGCAGTTCATTTAAGGCATCTTGGTTGGCGAACAAATCTCTCTTTTTGTATTCATTGATTTACTGCAGAGAGTTAATCTCTCATTAGACCAGTGTTTCCCAAACATGTTGTAAACCTCCCCGCTTTTTTAGACAGGACTATTGTCTAGCTCACCATCTCGACACAATCGCAGGTATTCAAAACTCTACTGAACTTTATTTCAAATTTAAACTCCTACAAAACTGCTGTTTAAATTAAACAAATTAAATATAATTACAAATCACTCCAGTTTCCTCACTGTGGCCCAATTAAAAAAATAACCTTTTAAATGGCCCCAGGGCCCCTAGGAGCCACACCCCCAGGAGCCACACCCCCAAGGTTGGGAACTGCTGCCGACAGGATGCACAAAAAGTGGCAAAAAGATGCTGTAGCCAACACATTCATAGAACATTGCTTCATGCCTCAAACAATGAATACAGGCTTAATGTAGACTCGGGTCAACAGTGTGAGGTTTGGCAGAGTAGCCGACAGTTTCATGCTGCCCAGTACTTTAACTTTAACTTTTTTAACTTTTCTTTTGCTTTTGATGCATTCCCAGGAAGCAGGTCTGACCTGACCCTGACCCTACAGAAACATTCTCTCACATGTGAATTCCAGCTGGTTTACCTCATCCAACTTTTCGCGTTTGGGAGGCGAAGCTTTTTCTAACACTTTCCCACCAGCTGCTGCCATCTTTGATTTCTTTGTCTGTGGTTCTTCCTCTTCACTCTCTTCTTCTTTTTCTTCTTCTTCCTCCTCTTCATCACTTTCCTCTTGCTCTACATATCTCCTGCGTTGTCCAGCAGCTGCTCCTCTGGCAGGTGATGATTTGGCCGGAGTCTGTGAACATAAGTCACTAATTAAATGAGGAGTTACAGGGGGATCATTTTAGTAAAAGTATTATTAAAACCAGTGACTTACCCTCGAGCTGCGAGTTGGTGGAGGTGTTTTGGCAGAAGTTTTGGGTGCAGACTTTGCTGGAGCAGGTGGAGTCTTTGACACAGCTTTTGATCTTGACTGTTCCACTTTTGGAGGTGGTGGAGGTGCAGCAGCTGCACGGGTGGGTCGCAGTAAGGAAGCACGAGCTGGAGGGTCACTAGGGGCATTTTTAAGGTGGGCTGGAAGTGGTGGTGAACGGGTTCGTGTGGGTCTGTCTGAGGATCTTGTTGCCTGGATTAGAAGTAGACCAAGCATATGTTACATAAGGGGAATGTATCATAACCAGCAGCTGTTTTATCTGACATATACAGAATCTAATTTTTTTATTTACATGAACCTGAAAAGTATTCTCGGTTGGTTTCATGCTGACGTTAAGTAGTAGCTTTTTGACATCTGCTGCAGATTTGATGGTGCTGGTTTTCTGAAAAGGGAAAACTAAAATTTTTAGGCTAAGGAATACACAAAATAATAAACAGAGGGCGACAGAAAGATTCAATAAAGTCAACCTGCAAGGCCTCCAGTTTCTCCTGCTGCTGTCTGATTTTCTCTGCCAGCTCTTTCTGTTTGTCTTCCACTGTCACCTTTTCTTTTTTCAGAACACCAACAGGGAAATTATGTTTCTGTTCAGGGGCATCACACCTGAAAAATGTAAAACATACTATTAACAGATAGTTAGATAGCAGATAGTATTGTGCAATGTAGTAAATGTATGGGTACTTAAACCTATTTGATTGCAACTTTAAAAGTAACATCAATAAGACATTGTACCTGTCCTGATTGCCGTCAGGGTTCATGAGACAAACCCAACTGTCTGGGTAGCGTTTGTCTACAGTGTCCATCTGGAACGGCAATGTTCTCCACTTTAAACATTTATCTGAGGAGAAAAAGCAACAGGGACTTTGAGACATGTACTTAAGGGAGATGCAATTATATGCATTTGCATACTGATGACTAACTAACCACACTGAATAGTAATTGGTATCTCTATGGCTCTGCGTCTCTTGTATCTCAGCTCTGATGATGGCAGTGCAGACCAGCTAGCAGAAAGGTATCCAAACTCATCCCAGAACTTCACTATGCCTTTCTGGGCTGCAGAGCAAACAGATAAAAAAAATCTATTTGTAAATTATATATTACAGTTATGGCTTTGATTTACCTTTAAAATGTACAAAAGAAATGTACAGAGCATTGAAAAGGTAAACTCACCAATATTTGTATCTTTCCAGTACTGAGCTAAATGCGCTCCCATGGATTTGAGCAAGTGGCGATACTCTTTAGCGTCTGCAAAGTCCTGTTTGTTGTGAGTCGGCTCTAGAACTAAATATGGAACATCCACTACACCAACAACACCCCCACAGGCCCTGGGAAAGGTAAACAGAGATACACTACCGGTCAATAGTTTTAGAACACCCCAATTTTCCCAGTCATTTATTGCAATTCAAGTTGTGTAGACCCAATGAATAGCTTGAAATGGTACATAGGTAAGTACTGAACAGCCAGAGGTTAAAAAAAAAGGTTTGGTTACCCAAAACCGAAAAATAATGTACATTTCAGAATTATACAAGAAGGCCATTTTCAGGGAACACAACGTGGGTTAACAATTTAAAGCTGAATCAGCCTTGAAAGCTGGTGCTACTAATTCCTACAGGTGTCCCAACTTTTCTGGATTACTTACAACCCCCTCTGTCTGCAT